ATTGAAACTAAAGAAAATATAAACATTTAAATTTATTTTTTCATCTTTAATAAATTGTTATTATATCTGCTTTTGATATTACCGGTAGGATGTAAATAGATATAATCGTACAATATTTAAAATATTGCATAAATGTTGTATTAATACACGTTGGCTTAGATAGCATTTATGAAAATTCAAAACCACATATTCCCGAGCCTTTATTTCAATTTTCAAGTCCGGGAAAGGATAAATTTATTTTGTTCTTGTATTGGCATTCCATTAAAAAAACAGGGGTATTGTGGTCAATTTCCGGCAACAATACAGTTACAAGATTCCAGTTGGATTTAATTTCAGGTAAAACTACCTAATTTGTGGCCAAATTTTGAAACACATTTTTTTTTTACCCATTTTAGTACTTAAATATATTTTCCTTTTAATTGCTTATAGTATTTTCTTCTATTCATAATGTGTATAGTTTCAGGTATTTTCAATCATAAAGTGCACAAAAATGGAAAAAAACAGTAAGGTGACTCTAGGCAACACTTAATGAGACAAACTAATATTTCAATATATTCATATTTTCAAATTGAAAGAAGAATAAAACTATTGTTAGGCATTTACACAGTTATACTTTTTCAGTATAAAAATTAATACTTTTGTAAAAGTATGTCATTTTATAGTATAAAAAATATATATTTTTATTGAAAATGTACGACACATCAATTTGGTCTGGCATACGACTCACATAATAATTTGTGATGAAATAAGCATGCTAAATAATCAAATTTGAAGTGAAATATGCAACTTCGATAATCCTAACAAAACAAACTTATTTAACAAAACAAACTTATTTAAATAACTTTGAGATATTTTTTTTTATTATTGGGCTTCAGATTGAATGGCTTAGTGATGATGAACAGAATGTCTTATATATGATTTAATTCAATTTATTAATTTGCAACTTTTTGGATATCTTACATTCAAATTAATAAAATGTCTATATATGTGTCAATTACAATAAGTTTTGTCAATGATAATACATTTTACATTTGGTTCATAACACTGGGTTTGTTTGAAATGTGTTGTCTTTGGAGTTTGAAATAGGTACAATACATTTTTCAGGAAAATTTGCATGCAACTCATATGAGAGTGCAAAAGTAAATTGAATATTTCTCAGCTATAAATCAAGTAAATTAACCTTCATTTTAGTTGTCTTTGCTGCAGTTCATTCAAGTGAGTTTAATTTTACACTTCAATTTGATGTCATCTCAAGTTAGTTTATTATGTTAGTTTTCTCGGGTGATATTTGTCGAGACGCGTTTGACTTTCCAAGTCTTGCTCGATTCTCTAAAAAAGTCAACCTAGCAAGCCGAGCATGTGGTCCCCCACTTTCGACTCTTGGGCGACTCACTATTAGTTAAGTAGAGCAGATAGAAACTGTCGGCCGTTAAGAAACTTAAAACCTTTGTTATCCGTACGTAAATTAGACATCGTTCTATATATAGTTAGTTATCAATAAATGTCCGATAATTTTCATGTTATTTTCGATAGAATCGCGTGTTAATCGCTCGATCTAACTTGTTTCAATGATCGGTTGTGTCTCGTGTGTCCCTTTACGGCTATAGTCGGGAATTCGGCTGTCAAAAATTCCATTCTCATGCACTTCCATTCATCTTCCATTTCCTTGTCGAAGGCATGTCAAATCTTTAGTTAGTTACTTGCACATAGTTAAGAACACATGAGAAAGATATATATCATATTTTTTTCTAGATATATATATTTCATGTTATGAAAAATGTAAGAACAATGAGGATTTATTTTGCAAGCAAATTAACTTTCTACTTGCATATACTAAAATTCTCTTATGCTTGCATTTGCTTTTATGTTATGTTTCTTTTTGTGTCAGTGATTTGGTCGATTTGGAATAATTAATTTCTCCTTACTTGATCAACTTAACATGTTTATACATTTATATATCGACCGGTGCAATTGTTGCGCGAGAAAAGCAAAAAACATAGTTAATATCACCATTTATGTTCGGATTCTTGTCAACTAAAATCAATGTTTTGATCAATTAATTTTCCCTTATTTGATCAGTTCTCATGGATTTTTGCACTCTTATACAAATGCAGCTAGTGATTTTTCATAAGGTTGAATTTACCAATGACCTCCAACTCAATAACATCCACACGAGCCAAATCCCGGACAATCCCCCGTCCATCCACGCCTCGTCGCAGGTGGCTAGCCATGGCTTCCAAAACCAAACCGAAACAACATCAGCCCGGCCCGGCCCGCGAAAACCCGCTCCAAAGTTGAACGGGCCCGTAAGATACAGCCGGCCCACGACGACGACCGACAAATTTCCGACCTTTGACGACGTCAGGCGAATCACAATCGCGAGGCCCGAACTAGCGAGATGGCACGCTCGTGGGCCTGGCATGCTCGACCGGCTCATCCCGGGGTGTTTCGTGCGGGTCGCCATCGGGCCCACGGACCCTCCCGTGCACCGCCTCTGCGTGGTCCTCAACACCGACGAGACGAAACCCGACCGACGGTACGCGTTCGGCGGCGGGCCCACGGCCAAGTACCTCAACCTCGTGTGGGGGGACGAGCGATCGGCCGCCAGGTGGCGACTGTTCGAGTGTCTCGTCCGGGAGTCGGCCCGGTTCATAGGGCACGTTCCCTCGAGGGACGAGGTCCTCGAGAAAATCGAGCTCCTAGAAAACGTGCGCGTTAGTAGTTCGGTGGGCCCAGGGGAAAGAAGGGGTGGGTCGGGAGAGGTGGCGGGCGTGGGCCCACCAGTACTGGCTCGAAGGAGGGAACTGAACAAGTTGCATGATTTCGAGTTGAGGGTCTCGTTGGTGGGGCTTGAGAAGTTCGGTGGGCCCAATGGGGTGAGGGCCGGGTACTTGGCGAACAAGGGGCGGGTCGAGGGGAGGCAAAGGTTTAGGGCCCCGGAGGATGACGTGGCGATGAGCGTGGAGGAGTATCGGAGGAGGAGGGGCCTCACTTGATGAGGGCTTGGTTTGTAGTGTGTGATGGTGATGGATATTAGGAAGAGTCGAGTCTATTGCACTGCACTGGAGTCATCGATCGGCACACACTCGTGTGGGTATGTGTGTGTATGAATGTCCATTCAATAGTAAGGAACTCAGTGGCTGTACTGCAGTCATGGGTAGGTTGAAATCAACTTGGATATTATCATTATGCTTTGATAGTCCTGTTTAGTGGTTAACTTTGTACAAAATATGCTTTTGATAGTTTTCTAGGTACCTTGATGGTTAAGTTTGTGCAAAAGTGTTGTGTTGTGTAAGAAGAAAATAGTGCATGGAGACTTTCATGACAATATTTTGCGCAATAATGTTCACAAATATTTACACAAGCACTACTTAAAACAGCGCCAGCAATTGTCGCCGGAAAATCAAGAAAATTCTTTTTCTTTACACTCCACAGCAATATGTCGTCTTCCGGCCAGTACTCGGTCAGAGATGAAAGCCCGACCGCAGAATTGGAGGCCCGTTCACGTAATGATCGAGCAAAGGATGCAAAAGAGTGAGGAACTTTTTTGGCGGCAATTTTTCATGACTTTGGATTTCATATTAGAGTCCTTTGGGGAAAGACAGGTTTTCTGTCGCAGCTTATTCTCTTCTTTAGCTCTTGTAATTTTTAAGGAAAATTATTTGGTGAAAATGATGCCCATATTGCATGAATAGGAAAAATTAGGAATGGAAGATCAAAGGCAACGCAACCAGAAAAATGGCATTTTTTTTACGAACACCCTTTGAACGATACTCAACAAAGCCAAAACCCATATAAAAAATTCTTCATGAGCCATCTCGTCTATNCTTCAAAATCAGTTCTCAGTACACAAAGTTTATTTTATAAACACAAGCTGCTTCACATAAACCATTCCTAATTTATTCAAACAATTCACATAACATAACAAAACAAAACAAAACAAAAAAAACAAAAAAAAAAAAACTTACAATTTTTCAGTATATATGGTGCACCTATATCTGTCCCATCCTTATGCCCGTATCACGATTTTGTGATACGAACCCATCACCCGTTTTCGAGTAGCTCACGTAGTAGAGCTCGGATAGAATCCCAGTAAACACTATGAATGCAGCCCCCGCGCCAAACACGCCCTTCCTCAAAGTCTCACAAGAAGGAGGATTTTGCGTAATATATGTTCTGTACTTAGTGTGATACGCGTTTCTTACAGAACCAGCCAGCAGGCAAATCTCAGCAATCATGAATGTCACCCTGTGTAATTATCATTGTCAAATTCAAGAGAGAGACAGAGAGAGATGAATTAAGACAATAGGATTTGGTTTTCCCTTTAATGTTTTCTTGTTTTTTTGGGTAGTGTATTGGACTATGTTTGGTAAAACTAGCTCATAAGTTAGTTTATAGCTATAGCTTATAGCTTATGACTTATAGCTGAAAAACAAGTTTATATGATAAAAGGTGTTTAGTAGAATTAGCTGATATTAAGCCAACTGAAATAAAAATTTTAACGGGCCTATTTGAAAAATTATCCAAAGAAGCTTATGAGCTAAGCTCGAGCTTTTTTAAAAAGCACATCCTATCAAACGAACCTTATTAGAATAAAAGAAGCTTATAAGCTAACCAAATAAGCTATAAGCTAGTTTATTTGGTTACCAAACATAGTCTTGTTCAATTTTGCTGTAAAACTATCGAATGGCATGGGATATGGAGTCATTTGCAATTATTCACAAGTAATGTATCCATATGTGTCTTAAAATAAATACACCGTGTCAATACTCAACACATAAATTCATTAATGGATGACTCCACAAAGGACCTATATATCCGCTGGTGTTTTGTATATTTTTTCCTTCTTTTTCATTCAAATTAAATGTCATTATAGAACTTTTTTACCACCACTTTCAAATGTACTCTCTACTTATTTCAAGATTAAAACAAGGTTATGGTAATAACTAATAAGACAATAATGAAAAGAAATAGAGAATTATAAACTATGGATGAATGTTATTAAGTCATGATTTGGTCTCAATAAAAACTCCAAAACAATTTATTCAATACAAAGGAAGTATACATACGTTCAACGTGCTTCCGGCATTCTTCTTTCTACTATTCGCCAATTTCAAATAACCTTTTAGTAGTAATGTACTGTGTGTATATATACATACATATATATATATATATATATATATAGAAGAATGCTACCATCCCATTACGGGATGGTTTCGTTGTGTTTTCTAGCCATAGATATATATGTAGATATATATGTAATCTAGTGATGGGTAGTTCATCCAATGGTTAAAAACACAACGGAACCATCACGTAACGGGATGGTAGCATTCCCCATATATATATATATATATATATATATGTATATATATATATATATTGAACGTTGAAAATATTTTTTAAATTGTATACTCAATCAATTAATCTTAATTTTTTTTAATTACTATGTTTATTTTTTATTAATATGCATAAAATAAAAGTAATAGTTCATCTTTAGATATATAATTTATAATCTTAATATACTATCATTTGGTGTAGACATATGAATCATAAAATATTTTTATTTTATAAAATTAAATATTATATTTAAAGAAAATAAGGAAATTACTTTGGATCAATCGGGTGATTGAATTAGGGTACTGCCCACTTTGATTGAATTACTTTTAGATGATATTTAAAATAGTCAAAAAACTTGACATAACTTGGTTGGTCCGAGGTAACTAAGTTATGTATCAGTTTGACCAGACCAAATCGATTATTGAATCTAAATATAAATTTTAATATTGAAAATACTTTATTACGTGAATGTGATGTACTCCAAACTTCAAATAATCATATTAACAATACTTTTATGACAACATGAATAATGATTTATGAATATTTATATATCATTTTATTATTATTTATGTGAACAAAATATTTATTTCATTATCATTTTTATTAATGTACGNT